GGCTGTGAGGCCTCCCTCCCCAGATTCTCACTGTAGTTATACGTAGTAGATGGAATTTTTTTTAATCGTACAATTGGTTTTCTAGGGTACACGTGACTTCTCCCTTGTGAATTCCACTTCTTTGGAGGAAGACAATCTTCCGATAGTCACGATTACTCGGCCTGTGGGTGACTAAGCAACGAATCATACATTTATAAGGTTTCCTCAATACCTTCAGTGTTTAGAGATTGTAGTCTGGGTGATACACAAAAAGTGTGAGTTCTCCGACTCAAGTTTCTGTTCAATGCTTCGCGATTTTTTCTCACTTTTTGTAGCAATATTTTTACTTGGTGAAATATAATTTACATGATGCAGTTGCCTAATGAGTGGGAGATTTCTCGGTCTCTCGGTGGGCCAGTCCGTCAATGTCAATCGGTAGATGAGCGATTTCATGTATGATAACATCGGTAATTGTATTTCCAGATCAGGTCCGGTGATTTTCCATTGAGAGAATCCGACTGAGTCACGGTCCACATCAGGACAGAAGAACAGGAAATAAAAGAATGGTATGCAATATATATGTTTTATGAGAAGGAAAATGAAAGCGAAGGGAATCGATGAAAGGCCGCACAAGGAGCTGTGGGGAAATGAGTATCAATCAAACAACCCATAACTGTCCCATTTCTCATCAACCCACACACTGGAGTATGAGATTTTTTTAAGTACTTATCATGCAACTCGCACAATATCCCTAATAATGAAGGTACTTTTTTCCTGTTTCTATCCCCCGGAATTTTGAGTTCTTCCTGATGGAGACATAATGAATATTTCATAAGGCTGGGAAAGGAAGTTTTTCAATGCTGACCGATGATGGAAGGCCGGGGCTCATCATTCTTGATCCCATTTCCCCAGGGTTTTTTTTGCCCCATTAACATGAGAGAGATTGCCTGAGACCACAGCGGTAAAATGGGGTCATACTCCGAAAAGACGACTCATTCGATCCAGACGGGACAACGCACGTCGAAGAAATTGTGCATGCTATTAGGCCTTCCAGTCACGCGAAGAACTTCAACAACTTAGGCGCTACAGCTGAAAGTTCATCATCGCTTCATTTTGGCATCTCATAAGAACATAAATTTTAGCCCAACATTCTGGGCGGAGAGTCTGAAGGGGTATGACAAATTTCATCAGGAAGTTTGTTTTTGTGTGATCTCTGTCGAATCTGTATCTACGTAGAAGCCAAGTTACGGTTCCAGCAGTTCATCCATGTACTCACAGTAATCTGAATCTTCTAACTATACCGTGGGTCATGGAATTCATCAGGAGTTCATTAAGAAGTAAGAAACAATGATAAGTTTCCGGTAACTTCATTATGCATTCGGCATAAGAAATCTTGATCGACTCGGGAAACGTCTTTTTAACGAAAGAAGCTACACTCGCACTTGAAAGGTACGTGACGAGCTAGAAAGTTACGAATATAGACGGAGCAATTCCCAATTTCATTCGTCGAAGTCGTCAAATTTTATCGAACGCGTTCCAATAATCTCAATAGAACTTGAATGAGTTCCATGGTGAATTGAGGGCATGTTGGACCGTAAGCCCTCGGAGATAGACCGCAAGGATGACGGCGACAACTTTGAGAACGCAGACGCTGTACCATCCACCTGGATGATCGTCGCTATCGTCCTCACAGTCCCCTCCCAGTTCTACTATAGGGAGTTAAAAAAAAAAAAAAAGTCGTGCAACCCATGGTATAGGTATCAGTCAATTTTAGCTGCCATATTGATCTTCAAACTCAAGCTGGGTATCACTAACTTCTGGTCTTAATGCAAAGCTTTATCAAGAGTTTTCTTTCCTGCAATGAGTACTTGTCACCCATTTTTCTTCCTTAGTTCATACATTTACTTCTGTGCCTGTAACAGAAGAGCACAACTCCATGAGTTGCAAGACTTTTTGAATACCCTGTACCTCTTCTTCTCGACTACGCGATCGGCGTCGTCCTTCTCTTGCTCAGCTTCTTTCGTGAAATGATTCCTCTTTGTAAATCCCATAATTCTATTCCATCAGTATAGGAAAAAATAAAACTGGCCCATTCGTAATGGCCTTTCTGCATGTTTTCATGTCTTCAATGACCGATCTCATATGCATGAAGCCATGATTACTCCGTTTTCCCATGCAATTTAGGAAGTCAATTTCTTGTTCGCGTGTTCGTGAAACAATAATACGAAAGAGCCTAAAGCTATAATTTAGACAGTTTTCCTAGGGTTACATTGGATTTCATTTAGGATCAGTCTTAGAGAATGGGCGAATGAAGTTGCATCCTGAGCGACAGCTTTTGTGATCCGGTTCCTCTCTATCTTACCATAAAGGCTTGTTTCTCTGTCAGGCAAGTCAAGATGGGGACCACGAATATCCTGACAATCCATGAATCAAATTCCCAGACATGTGACCGCTAATACAGCAGTTAGCTCAGTTACAGATCTACTATGAGGATGCACTGAGGTCCAAATTCATCCACTTCTAGGTTACGCCACCGGTGCTGTTCAGCTGGGTCCGTTCACTTGCAGACTGCCTGGAAAAAGAACTGAGAGCTGTCCAGAGGGCCACTTCTCTCGCGCCCTTTTTCTATCTATTATTTATAGGGAACTCAATTTATGGGAGTATATCGTATCAAAATTCATGAGGGAAACGAAAATGCAAGACAGACCAGAGAACAACTCTGAAGACCAAGAAGCGCGGTTGTGAGAGAAATACTCATGACCACGGGTTAAAAACGCTAATGAAAGCGCTGGAAAGTGGGTGCTGAAATGCTCACCGCAGGAGTCAGGGTTGATTTTGAATCCGGAAATTGTTTCCCAGCGTGATCTCTCATCGAATGCCCATCGTGATCCCACATGAATGGAAATTCTTAACGGTGAGGATGAGGAAAGGCTAAGGTTAATTTGAAAAGAGAAACTCTACTCCCTCATTAGGATGTATTTATAGACCTTTCACACTGGAAGATTTAGAGGCAGGTGAAATGGAGATGAAGATGCCATAAATCGGTCCAGCTGTCTGTCCCAGTTTCATTCTGCACGTCTAACTACACATAATTAAGGCCTTAATTGGAGAAAAAACCCCAAACGCGTTCTGGCCACGAAGAATTACGACCTCGAAAGGGGTACTACGTTTCAATCTGAACTCATTACAATATACCAGCAATATAAAAGATTTATGTCAAGCGGCAAGCTGATTCGATATACACAATACCATTCTGACCGCGGGCATTGCATTCATAATTTATACAGCCATAATTTCACATTTCTTCACATTGTTGTGACAGCTGCAGTGAATGAAACATCCAGTAATGTGCAGACTTCCTACCCCCAGGTGAGAATAGATGACTTATTTCTGCACTTTCACAAAAAAAAAAACAATTCACGGAAGCTTCAATTTGTTACCCCCAGAAGCGCAACGAGTATTTGTCAGAAACATAAACGGAATATAAAGAATTGACTTTTTGCTCCGACAGAGAGTCATGGCTTCAATTTGAGTGCATTTCCGTGATCCCCAAAACCGTTCTTGCTTTTTCCGTGTCTGACAGGGTGACAAAGTAGCACTTTCTACGAGCGATGAAAAATGGTTTGGCAGTGGGCAGTTCTTGGAAACCTACGTATCGATTCACATTTCGCATTCACACGTGTACATAGCAGGCATGACTTATGATAATGATGGAATGGGATGGGCGGGGGGGCGAAGGGTGGATGAAATGACGAAGGCATGCATCCAATTCATTCCCCTGATTAATGGACCTCTATATGGATGTCTTCCTTTGCCCCCCTGCTGAAACGCTGGCGGAGCTGTCTTCTGGCTTTGTCGTACCATAGTTATCACTTCCATTCCGAACGTAGGCCATCACAGTAAGACATCCGACCTTTCATCCCCTGAAGTAAGAATTTTTTGGGTCGGATGAAGATGATTTTAAATGGAAATAGTTAAGTGTAAACACGCGCAAAGGGAAACGTTGTTCTGTTCAGAGGAACTCCCGAACTGCCTTGACGATGGATCAATTAACCACCATGAAGAAAATAACTGAAAATTTACCGCACACGAACGTTTGCTGACGATCTTACAGTCTGCTTCTTACCCTATAGGTATGTTTTTAAAGTTTAAAGTTGCATGCCAATGACTGCCGGAATTTGAGACCTGTGCACCACCCGGAGAAATTTAAAGAAAGACGTGAGGGAAATTCTGGAATACTCAGTGCCTGTACCTGGATAGTGGCAATCCGTGACATTCTGTTCCAGATCTGGGATAAGGTCCAACTCCGCCCCTGTCCAGTTGTCCCGGTCACATTGGGGGGCAAAGAGGAGGGAGGGGATAAAGATAAAGAATAATAATCATTATGTGTGAGAAAGGGAGGATATGACATGGGATTTTGGCAGGGATCAGGCCATGGATCATTGATCCATGTGTATGTGTATGTATCAGCCTGGGACTTGCACGTCATTATAATTACAGTTCCCTCTCCCCTACCCTGACCCATTTCTTTCTAAAACGTAGGGGTCGGTTTCAAGTGTATCACTCATGCATGTTTGAGGCCCTAATTGATAATCACTTATTGGATTCCATGAATAATGGTCCCTGATTATGAGCCCACGTCTCGGGCTCATTAATTAATGCCGCTCCGTACCCGGAGCACGTCCTCTAGGGGCAATGAATCTTCGTACTTTGTTCGCCACCTGAATGCCTGCCCAGTCTCTTGCATGCAGCTGGTCTGGTTTTCAATTTCTACTTCACCCCTTTTGTCTCCTCTTTTTAGATGAGGGGGAGAAACAAGAAAACATTAGAGCAATTCTGAATGAAAAAGAATCATTTATCATTATAATCAAATATACCTGTATTTATTAGCCTGATATGCAAAAATGGGGGGATGCACTTGATTCAATAAAAATCATAGGCTGACTCCGATTAGCCAGCCGTGAAAAAATTTCATCAAAAGTGAAACAGAAATGAATAACAATACTATGCCATAGGCTACGTCAATCAAGGGACAAGACATTTTTCAATTGACCAGGCTCATTCGCAGACCAGACAGAGCGAAAGAATGTGATAGCATCACGGTGCACAAGAGCCTGCTTCTGTAATGCAGTGCTGCGACGCCGGGCTGAAGATATGATGGATGATTCTATGCCAGCAAGACGTGCAACATTCAAACCATAGCTGCTCTGTGCTGAACCAGGGGTGAGTTGATAGAGGAAGGTGATAGAATCATCTGGCACATCTTCAAGAAGATCTACAGTATCACTGAAGAGACTGCCAATCACAAAGGACATGTGGAAGTTGCCCACATGCTTCCGGAGGTGACTCTCCATCTCAACTACAGCTGGATAGTGTGTGACGAACAATGTAAGGCATTGCACAGTTTCAACCAGGTATCTGAGGGTGGCACAAGCTATTGCCACACCATCATGAGTACTTGTGCCTCGACCAAGTTCATCTAGCACTACCAATGATCGTGGTGTTGCACGTCTCAGAACTTCAGATGTCTCAGATAATTCCACCATGAAGGTGCTCTGACCTTCCAAAATCCGATCTTGGGCACCCATTCGAGTGTAGATGCCATCCAGAATTCCTAATGTAGCCAACTTGGCAGGAACAAAGGATCCAATTTGAGCTAGAATTGCAATGAGTGCAACCTGATGGAGGTAACAGCTCTTGCCCCCCATGTTGGGACCTGTTATGACCATGGAACGCCGGCCATCTCCATCCATCTGAGTGTCATTGCAGATGAATGTTTCCACTAAACCACTCAGCACTGGATGCCATCCACCTTCAATATGTATCAGCCGTCCACTTTCTATGAAAAGAGGTCGGGTGTAATCATTAGACCGTGCGATTCCAGACAATGTGAGCACAACATCTAATGTTGCAATCAGTTCCACTGCCCTCCGATAACTTACAAACTCTTTCTCTGCAAATTGCTTCAGAAATTCCATCCACACTTTTTCACACTCTGCAGCTAGGAGTTCCCGATGTTGGCAGAGTCGAGCATACATCATCTCAACAAATGGAGTGCGAAACCGAACACATGCTTTAGTGAGGTTGATGCGAACCCAACTGTCTGGAACACGATGAAGGTCCACATTGCGGACCTCAATCAAATACTCTTGCCCAGAAACAGTCACATACTCAAAATTAGAGATACATAACTGTTTATGAATTTCTCCCTTGGCACTTTCCAATTTCTTTGTGATACTAGCTATTTCCTGCTGATGCAAGTTCACACCTGGAAAGCAGGAAGTGTCAGCAAACAGTTGTGTTTTGTTGTTGTCCTTAGCCGCCACTTCGTTTATGGCTGTCAAATAAGTTTGCACATTTTTTAGATGGTCCATGATCCCCTGACAAAGTCCCTTCAAGGCTGGACTTGACAAATCACTTTCCATCACAGTCCATCGACATTCAAAAGCTAAGGAGATGCGGTAGAGTGCAAAACACATGGTATGAAAGTCTGATGGACTACAACGGCCATAGAGAGCATGAGTCAGTGCCTTTTCCAGATCAGGCAAATGAGAGAGACACTCTTGAAAAAAAGACAGGATCTTGTTATCAGCATCAATAAAGTCTGCTATCATTGATTGCCGTTCTTCAATGCGTTGTATATTGCACAGAGGACGAGATAACCATTTGAATAGCAATCTGGCACCAAATTTAGTTCGTGTTTTCCTGAGAAAGTGATATACACTGCCTTCTTCTTTCCCAGTGCTATCACACAGGAAAATATCCAAATTCCTGACAGTACATGCACTGAGGTTCATATGTTCTTGCATGCTGGTCCAACGTTGGAAGTTCTGATAGGCTTTAAGAGCTTTTTCAAGATGAAAGTCTTTTAAATAAGATAACAAAGCACCATGACAACTGATCAATTCAGGTACAAAACTCATAATGAGTTGGAGCATATCAACATCACCATGGTAGAAGTCTGATAGACTATCCATGCATCTTCTGTATTCAAAACATTTTGGATCACACTGTTCTAGTCTAATACAGTCATGACTATTACACCGCATATTCACATAGGACTTGATGCAGCGGAGTGTGTCCTCAGATAATGCAGACTCTGAATATAGGACTTCCACCGGTTGAATATGGACAAGACGGGTACTGAGTTCATCTCTAGGCTTGAGATCAAAGAAGTGATCAAATATGACCTCACCTGTAGATGGCTGAACAGCCATGATGCCTATTGACATAGTTGACTTGCCTTTTGCTGATGGCACCTCCCACACAGCCAATAAGAAGGTGTTCACATCACCATCATTCTCTGCATCTTCCTCTATACCCTCCAGACTCTTCACATCTGGTGTAATGAAGGTTGATCGGGTATATAGAGCTGTAAGCTCCCTAGAAAATGGGAGATTTCGTGTCTCACCAGCTGCCTTCACAGCTGCAGTCTCAGTTTGATGGATAACTCCAACTTTATATCCTTTGGTTACCAGTCTTTTAGCATGAACCAGCAATCGATGATTTGGAATGCATGCTGTAAGGAAGTTGTGGTCAATGTAGGAAGTAATATTCAACTCTTTAGATGCAATTTCAGCATCTTCACCAAAAAACCTGAACTTGTAGCCACATTCCACAAATAATACAACTCCTGGATATTGCTTCTTCACTTCAAGGAACTGCTGTTCAAGTGGGGTGTACTTAGGAGCATGATGAACATCCAGTTTTTCATGTGCAGTGTTCAAATTTAACTTTATTTTGTCACGGATGGAGTCAAGAGAAAGTTTGGATGCACAGATGGGCCAAGGCCTGGCGACGTCTGAGTTACTGGATTGCAGTGAATCATCGGCTTTGAACTCGATGAGCTTCTCGTGCAGATGCTCTGACATCCATGCACTATGCTTTCTCTCCGGAGTTCCATTTTGATGTTCAGATTTCTCGGGGAAGTACACTGATTGAGAGGACGATGAAGATGCTCGGTTCAGATCACAGGTCTTCAGCTTACTTGAAAGCTTGGCCTTGAGATTGGCCAAACTGGGAGGCTTTGGCATGCTGGGATCACTGTAGCCTAATTGACTATGCGTATTGTTAAGCCAAGTCTAGGGGTGGGTCATTACCTGAAACAGCCTCCACTCAAGTTTGCAACGGTCAAAGTCAACAAAGACTGGTTCTTGTAAAACTGGAGAAACCCAAGAATAACCTCTTCGAAGCGTCCGTCATTCACAAGATTTTTGGACACCGAAAGGGGCTTTTCAACTCGGATCAAGTTCATGTTGCCTACAAAGTGGCCGCCGCCATACCTGACAGTGTTGTCTTGTTGGAGACAATAGGTACGATTTAGTCTAATTCAATTTAGTTTAGTTGATTGGAACTGAAGGTAGATCCATAAAAAAAAATGTATAGACAAAGGGAGAAGAGCACCGAATGCTGATTTTCCCTGAAAGGCAATAGTGAGGGAGATAAAATAAAACCAGGTTCTACAAGTGCTTCAAATTGAATAGATCCGTTGTTCCTCAGCCAAGCACTCATTTTTTTGCTCATAACTGATGAATTTATTCTCTCTATTGAGCTGTGGACGGCTTCAAAACTTGCTGGACGTATCCATCGTGAGGCTAACGTCATGGGTTATTGCTGTAAGTGAACGCCCTCGCGCGGAACGCATGAGAAGTGCTTCATTCTTATTCTTCGTGCAGATGTCAGCACGGCAGAAGCAACTGTTTCACGTTTTCTAAGTTCAAGGGTCAGATAGGGACGACAAGAGGCATTTCTGTCCATTAGGACATCCCGTGTCAAAGTCAAGCGTTTCATATCACTCATATCCATATCATAAGATAGAACTACCCTTATAAATATGGATATTTTTGAGAGAAAATATCCACCCAATGCCTTTTTTGTTTCGAGCATGAAGGAATCTAACCTCCTCTTAACCCATCAATAACATCCATCTTAACCTATCCGCATCAAAAGACGTATAGGTACGTCGCGCAGCACCTGGTCCGTATCACCGAGGACGTACTGGTACGCAGTGTTCTTAGAACGACCGTACCTCAAGAACTGATGAAGCTACCAAGAAGAAAAAACTTACGCATATTACAGTCTCGTCTTGTTTAGTTGCTATGCCTATTGTCTCACCATGTCTGGGAGACACGAGAGGGGCCACGAAAGAAGACCAATTACTTGTGTCATAATCGCTGTCGAGCGTTGAGAGAGGAATTATAAACGTAAAATCAATTATAACGAATTATAAACAAAAAATGGTTTCCCAAAAGTAGGTGTCATTTTGAATTTCGCGGCATTTCTGAACGGTCAAAGTTTGAACGTCAGTATTTGACAGGTGACAGCTAAAAATTAGGGGGTTTGTGAAAATGGAACGATGCACAGTCGCGCAACGCATAGAAATTGTAAAAATTCACTATAAAAATGGTGAAAGTTTCGCAGAAACGGTTCGGAAAGTTCGTACTAAATTTGGTCATCATGAAGCACCAAGTCGCAGTGCGATTGTGAAAATAATCAATAAATTTGAGCAAACCGGGTCTGTTACGAACCAAAAGAAGTCTGGGCGTCCTCATACTGCAAGATCAACCGAGAATTTGCACGCAGTTGAAGAAAGTGTCGCCTATGATCCAGGCATGTCGATACCAAGGCGTTCTCAACAATTGAACATTTCAACGAGCAGTCTGCATCGAATTTTGCATCTTGATCTTCATCTCCACCCGTATAAAGTGCAGCTGACGCAAGAATTGAAGCCGGCAGACCACTCACAACGTCGTGCATTCTCAAATTGGGTGCTGGAAATGCAAGCAGCTGACGATGATTTTCGCAACAAAATTATCCTGAGCGACGAAGCCCATTTTCATCTAAACGGGTATGTTAACAAACAAAACTGCCGCATTTGGGGCTCAGAAAACTCAAGAGAGATACTGGAGCGGCCAATGCATCCCCAACGCGTGACAGTTTGGTGCGGTTTATGGGCTGGTGGTGTCATTGGACCGTATTTCTTCGAAAATGAGCAGGAAAAAGCGGTGTCGGTCAATGGGCTGCGTTATCGTGCGATGTTAGTCGACTTTTTAAGGCCTGAATTGGAAGCTATGGACTTGAGCGACCTTTATTTCCAACAAGACGGCGCTACATGCCACACATCTGGCGAAACAATTGGGCTATTGCGCGAGAAATTTCCTGGTCGCGTTATTTCACGAAATGGGGACATCAATTGGCCGCCTAGATCGTGTGATTTAACGCCGTTGGACCTTTTTCCTGTGGGGATACGTGATGATACGATTCGTATCATCATAGAATCGTATCCTGTGAGGATACGATTGAGACTGTAATTAGTGAGACGAAATCAACCGGTGAATCTGACCATGAATCGGCCGAGTCATCTGCCTCTGACCTTTATGAATTGAATCCATCTCTGCCCAAAGCTAAAGTTCCAAAGACATGAAACAGGCTTAAATGGAAAGACACCCTATTGAACCCTTTAACTGTAATACCTTTCACTGGACAACCCGGAATATATCAGACAGCAATGAATAGTGAAACAACAAAGGCAGAAATATTTTATTTCTTCTGAGACTATTTTTGATGAGTAAACCATGAATGAAACCATTATTAAACAATGAATTACAACAACATGAATTCGATTAAATGTTTTATTGGTTTTGCCGGTCGAAACATGCTCACACGCTCCTGTGCGCTCAGCCACTCGGTGATGTGGGCCAGGGAGGGAGACTGCGTGCCGGTGAAAACAAGTAACTTGAGTTGAACCCAGGATGATGCGGATGGGTTATAGGACAACCACTACATCGTCACTTTACGCATTCCACGCGTTCACTGCCCCACAAGTTTAGAATTCCTCTCGCATCTTACGCCTCACCTAGGGTTTATGCAGTTTAAGTCGGTTCCCTCTCGTTCTGTTGCTCCCATCGAACTGGAAAAATACCACGTTCTACGTTATCGAATCCCTTAATAATCTTACATGTCTGAATTCGGTCCCCCTTTGGTAACCTTGTCTCGGATGAGTACAATCCCAACACATCTAAACGCTCTTCGCATGAAAGTCCATTTACCTCCTTGATTATTCTCGTAACCTTCCTCTGGGCCCTCTCGAGCGCCGTTAGTTCACCTTTACTTGAAGACCTCTAAAACTGAACTCAATACTGCTAATGGTGTCTTACCAGCTCCGCATACAACAGAAGTATTGCGTGTGAGCTCTTATTGGCTATGGATCGTCGGATGAAGGCTTGTTACATTTAGCTAAAGTCGCTTGCGCGTGCGAGGAGAACTTGAGTTCCTCATCGATAGTGATTCCTAAATCTCTCTCTCCGTTTGCCTCCTCCAGTTTATCCACGTTAACTCATTGAGAGACCTATCGTTATTATGACCGATGTGGAAAACCTTACACTTACTTTTATTAACACTTTGAGCCCTGCAGCCTTCATATGACGTCCTACGTCCATAGCGTATTCAAATTGCCAGGACTGAAAGTGTTAAATCTCACGAGCTATAATTCTTACTCCACTCGTTCAAATGCAGGAAATCCTGCTCGGCTCTCCGTACACCTCCCCCCTGATAGAGAAACCTACTTAGGTGTCGTCGACGAGTTTCTTCTGTTACTCGCTAGGCTATCCACAAAAAGGACAATCATACAAAATCTTGTGCATTCAGTTCGCTCAAAATTTGTATTATACTGTCAATTAATGCCTAATACCTCTGTGATCAGTGAGCTGGTCAGATCCTAATTCAGTTCGCAAAAATAAAAAAAATCTCCATGCTTCATGGTACATGATGACATAGGCGCCGACTTCTAAAAAATATTGGGGGGGCACGTGCCCCTTTGCCCCCCTGGGTTCGGCGCTTATGCATGATGAAAGTCCCGCTCGGAGCAGTTTCCACTCGTGCACCTGGAAGGAGATTCCTGGAGTACTTATTGACTTGAGGGAGTTGCAGGCAAGGGAAGACTGACATGCCAATCACCGACCATTTCAAGGCATTTCTTACTTAGACGCAAAATATACTTCACCGGAGTGAAGTGATTTCATCGATTTAGGAAATGAAGACTTGGCGAGTATTCTCTTCTCAGTTGTGACCAGGTTACTTGAACCTTGAAGTCCATTGGTTTTCTAAGGGTGAATTAAAATTAACGGAAATAAAAACGGCTGAGAGTACGGCCCTTTAACGGATTGACTCTCTTTTTCCTCGAACGTGGTTTCCTCTGTGTCATCCTGATCACATGATGAACCATTTTTCGAAAATGTAGCAGGGATTCTTGCAGGCGACACTGTGAAAAATAATGATTCGGACTAGCACCCTCAAATACTTCTACTCTTTCAGAGCGAGTTTCGGCGATTGAGAAATCATTTTAAATGGATTTAAGTTCACTTCAAATACCATTTGACACAATGACGCATAATGACAACTCGGTAGGTCATGAACTATTAAGGATGGGGCGCAGCACGAGCCTATGTTTTGTGATCCCTATAGGAAAAAATAGTTTTATAGAACCATTTTTTCACGATATTTGCTTAAAAGTTACTCGTGGGAGAGAATATGGATGTCTCAGATAATAGCATCGGTTATCTGTCTTGTCAATACCCTCAGATCCTGGTAACTCCAGGAGTTAACCGGTTTCAGCTCCTGGTTTCACGAAAATGGTTTGACAAAAGTTTCACCAAAAATGGGTCCAATCCGAACCTTTAAATTTAGAGAGTAGAACCATTTCCCACTAAATTTGCGTAATAGTTACTGGTAGGAACGATCGTGTGAATGTCTTGGGTCCTAGCGTTCATGTTCTGCCCTGTTAACGCCCTGAGATCGTGGTGGGGAATCAATTGCATCTCTTCCACGAAAATGCTTCTATAAAGGTTTCACTTTAGAACCTTTATTTTTTACAGTGTTGAGTGAAAGAAATATGAAAAGAGAGAACATGGGAACAAGGTTTGGCAGTTGGGCAGAGTGCGTACTCGTGCTGTACAGCATACTGTACTGAAAAATCCAATTCAACATGTCCAGCTGCAGGACTGCAATCCTGAAATGCAACAAGAAGTATTACGTA